TGATTATTTTACTTTATTTTATGTAAAGCACTTTGAATTACCATTGTGTACGAAATGTGCTATATAAATAAACTTGCCTTGCCTTGCTGGTTTTTGGAACCATTTGTAAACCAGCTAGAATCCAGCTTAAACTGGATTTTCAAACAGGGTATTTACATTGTAACTTTTTATTTGTAATTGTGTAACCATTGACAGAAACAGTCTCCACTGAGATCTTGTCAGTATCTTCACCTCCTCGTGTGTAAAGACGAGCATCACCGGCTCTGACAGATGCTTGGTTTCTGCATTACTGACGACGGCCGTCACCACTTTAGAGTTGAGTTGATAAGTGACGCGTCTCTCTTCATCATCTGATCTCTCTCTGCTCATCTTGTGGAGCAGATCGCTGGATGAGTTCAGATCTTTATAACTGACCAGAGCCGCAAACGCAAAACCTAAAGGAAAACGACGTTCACATCTCGTCAGGAAAGTGCTGATGGTTTCATAAGTACATATATGTGCACGTGTTTATTTGTACCTGGATATGATTTCCCTACAACTGTTTCCCAGCTGGTGCTGAAGAGGGCGGAGTCTGTGCTCAGAGTGACACGCCCACTGGGCGGAGTCTGATTCCGTGTGACTGCAACCTCAGCGACTGTGATTCACATCATGAAGATTTAATAAAAATGCCTTATTTTCATTATCTCCATTCAGTACCAGAGTGTGACTGTGTCTAAACTGAAATGTGTGTGGTTCCTCACAGGTGTTGTGCGTCTCCATCCTGGTCACAGGCTCTTTCAGCTGAGGTCCGATCAGACGCATGCTGTTCTCCACCGCGTCCAGAAACTGATTCAGAGTCTTCCCGTCAGCGATGTTTCCATCCGACAGCAGCTCGTCAGAGGAACTGCACACGTTCTGTGGAATAAATCAGAGCTGTTCATTCAGCCACTGTGCGCGTGCATGATCACAAACTACTGTGTGAATATATATCATGCAGTGAGTGTTTGACCCGCAGCAGCTCCTCTCCAGTGACATGTTCTCCATGTGGATCATTCAGAGACTCACAGCTGTTCTTCAACAGTGACATCAAATGCTTAAACTAGAAGTAGACACACAGCAATCAATGCATTTGAGTCTGACCGTGCATCTGTCTATCTAATAATAATAATCATAAGCAGAAGTACACTTTCTACCTTCTCTGGCATGTGGTCGGGTCCAAACTGATCGCAGTCCATTTCTGTGCACAACAACAGGAAAGATAAAATAATAAACCAATAGTTGACAGTGAAAACACACTGATTAACTCCTATACGTTTCTCAGCAGCTGCTGCATAATAAATAGACCAATATAAAAAATGCATCAGTGCAATGCTAGAAATCTCACCGATGCATTTTGACTGGTCGTTGCCATAGTTACTGTAACCCTGGTGACATTTGCAGCTGTATCCGCCTTGATTATTGTAGCAGTGTGCGTTTGTGCCGCAAACATCTGGATCATCTCTACACTCATCGATGTCTGTGAGAGAGAGAAGATGGGAGAAAAAATTGTTTTAAATTATATAAAGTTTAAGCTTATACATAAAGACAACATGATGTGCAAATACTGTCTCTCTTATAATTAAATGTTTTTTGCAATGCTTTGTAAATTAAAGATTGTGCTAATGACTATAAATGTACATGCAAGTATGATGAACTCCTCAATCCCACAATCCTCTCTCGCACCTTTACACGATCCTGTTAAGCTCATTTTGAATCCTTCATTACAGGCGCAGTAGTAACTTCCCTCTGTATTCACACACTGAGCGTGATCGCCACACACAATCAGATAAACAGCACACTCATCCTCATCTGAAAGAGAGACAGACGGATGAGTGCAGTCAGGAAGGATGCATTTAAACTGTGTAATGACTGGAATTACAGTTACACAAACTCCCTCTTTTGAGTGACATACAGACCATTAAAAACTACATAAACTTTTACTATTCAATCAAACCACAAAGTCATAATTACCAACACATTTCCTTTTAACAAATTTATATCCATTGGCACATCCACTGCATGACGGTAGAAAGAGACCTGGGAAGAGAACGGGGTAATATACATATTTTTAACAATTCATTATTTTTACATCACCTACATAATGCTCAACATCATTGAATGTGCATGCAATTTGCAGCCAGATTGCATTATAATAATGAGATGAACGTTATAAATTGGACCAATATTTTGATCTGCACCAGTGTTGCCAACTTAGCAATTTTGTTGCTAGATTTAGCAACTTTTTCTTCAAAAAGCACCTAGCAACATTTTTAGCTTTTTTTTTAATTATTATTTTATTTGGCAACTTTTGAAAAGTGACTTAAATGATAAAAATGCACACATTTTCCCTCTAAATTACACAAAGAGAGGAAACCAGAGATGCCTAGCAGTACACACATCACGTGAATTCAGTTTTTAGTTGCGATTGTTCAATAATAATTGTTCAGTTGTGATACACCTTGTTAGTAGCTTGTATCTGTAATTGCTAATCCCTTAAAAAATTATCCATATAGTAAAAGTGTAGTAACCATAGTTTTTTTTTTTGTACATTGATTACCATTTGTATAACCACAGTTTTCTGCCAGGATCCTTTAAGTTGTAACCCTGTAACCCGAAAACACAAAATACAAACCTGTGAAAAATCAATACATACAATTCCTTCATACTAACACAGTACATTGTGCCCTATTTTTATGGACTTATCTTTTACCAATACACTGCATAAACCTATAATTGTTCAGAATGTGTCCTTTTAGTAGTAAATAAGAAAATTCTTCAATGTTGTATTTAAAAATACATATATTATTGATATTATATTTTAATGTTATTATATCGTTTATATTATTTTTTACAACAAATCTAAACGAACATTTAAAACCATATTTTTTGCTCAGATTTGAGTAATCCGATGACGCAGTTTTGCGATGTGATTACATATTGACGTGATCGCGCAATTACATCACAATGTCATTTAGCAACTTTTAGCAACAAATGGACATTAGTGCCTTTAGCAGCCTCTGGAAATTAGTTGGCAACACTGATCCGCGCGCGCTCTACATTCCTACACAGAAATTCGCGCGTTCTCACATTTAAAAGTTAACGGTCGTTTCTGTTAACCGCCTCACTTATTCATATTCGTTTCTATTTCTTTAATGAATAATTCATTTTAGATGTGAGGTTAAATATATTTTAATAATAGTGTATTAAAGACAGAGAAGCGGAGATCCCCACCAAACTGGTAAGATATCGCTAATTTTAGCCTCCGAGTATACATTTACATACAATGTAGTTTAGTTAAGAGGTATGTCTTCTGTTCAAGGAAACAACAATTCTGTACACCGATTTCATTATTGCGTAGTGCATGTGTGCCACTTTGACAAAACTATTTAGTTTTCTCTTGTAACGTTAGCTATATGAGGGAAGACAACAAAATTGTTGAACCTCGAGCCTTAATGGCTGTAATCATAAACAGTTATATTTGCATAAACTGGCATGCATCTGAATTGCTTTTTGCTGAAAAACTTTTAAAGGAAGATCTTTAAAGTAAAAAAACAACAACACACTATTTAAATACAAGTCAAACGCTGTCGACGGCTTTTGTGACGGGTCAAAATTATGTTCTGAAATAATAGATGCAGCATGTCATAGATGCTAACGATAGAGCAAACTTATTTATTCCTACATATTACTATTTGTAAGGGACATGTTTGCACTGGCCTCCACCCTCAAGCAAAACAGTCCTTAGAAAGAACAGAACTGAAGGTGGGAAGAAGTGACTACGACACGAAGATCTGGAAAGCATAGGAAATCAGGAAAAAAATAAATGTGTAGGTGTGTCTGGAGTCGGACCTGCACGATCGTGAATGTGCTGGATTCGTGTGGGTGGTTCACTTATTACGAAAATGTAAAAAAAAAAAACTCACGGACAGTATTTTACAATCATTTCCTCGTTAGTCGTTAGATTTTTTTCATTCTTACTATCCTGTTTTTATTGTAGTAAAAGTGTAGTAACCATGTTTTTTTTGGCGTATTGATTGCCATTTTGTACCAGTTTTACTACAAATACCATGGTTAAACTATGGTTAGTGTAGCAAAACCATGGTAAATTTGACATTTACCAATGATTTCCATTTTTTCCCCCACAATTTCTTTCTTAGTGCATATCAAGGAGGTCTAATACACTTGCAGAAAGTTATGCATTAGTAGTCCCATCCATCTCAATGGCAGTTGCTCGGCTAGCGTATGTTCCCCCAGCAAACATCTGATATGATATCATAAAATTATTTGAGATTTAAAAGCTGCTTGGGGGAAAAAAAAAATATATATATATACACACAACTATATTTTGAATAGGTGCCTTTTGCCTGTAGAATTGTGTTGTTACAGCATCATTGTCCTGCTCTGTTAAACACGACTACAATCACAGCATTCAACAATCAAGTTCTACTCCCAATTCACACGAAAGCTCAATGTGACTGCTTCCTACTGCCATTATAAACTCTATACTGTTTCAGGATAAGCTTCCAGATTGACTGATGAAAGTCACTACAATGATTCTGGAGCAGTTTGTTCTTTAGCGTGTTTGTTCTGATGGGTCTGAAAACCCCCCAAATAAGCGAATCTCTCGCCGCAAATGGAGCAGCGGTAAGGTTTCTCTCCTGTATGAACTCGCTCGTGGATCTTCAGGACGTCTGATCGAGCAAACGTCTTGTCACACTGTGAGCATTTGAACGGTCTTTCTCCGCTATGAATCCTCTTGTGCTTCAGTAGGTTAGTGTGTTGACGGAAACTCTTCCCGCAAACGCTACATTGGTACGGTTTTTCTCCCGTGTGAATTCTCTGATGGACTTTGAAATGAGTCGGATCGGAAAAGCTCTTCCCGCAGTGAGAGCACAGGTACGGTCTCTCTCCGGTGTGAGTCCTCTCGTGACAATGCAGATGAGAAATATGACGGAAGCGTTTGTCACAGTGTGTGCACTGGTGCAGTTTCTCCGAGTGGATTTTTTGGTGGGATATTAGACAAATGGGCTGCTTAAAGGTTTTCCCACATTCGCTGCACTGGTACGGCCTCTCGCTGGCGTGCGAACGCATGTGTGTCTTGAAATGGGACCCATCTCTGAATCTTCTCTCGCAGTGAGGGCACTTGTACGGCTTCTCCCCCGTGTGGATTCGCTTATGAACAATAAGAGATTGTTTGGCGCTGAAATACTTGTCGCACTCGCTGCAGTGGAAAGGCTTTTCGCCAGTGTGCGTCTTCATGTGAATTTTCAAATTACCAGAAGAGAAGGCAACCTTCCCGCACTGTTCGCAGCGAAACTCCTTCTTCACCCTGTGCTCTTTTGAATGAAGTCTTCTTTCTTTTAAGGTAGGAAAGCTGATGTCGCATACCTTGCAGCTGAAGTCTTTCTGTTCTGTGTGTTTCCTCTCGTGTCTTGCTAAATTTCCCCGTTTGCTGAATGTTTTCCCACAGGTGACGCAGGAGAAACTCTTGGCCGTCGGCTGCTCTTTTGATGTCGAGGCCGTTTCTTCATCAGAAGATGATCTGGTGTTTTCATCTGAGAGGAACGGAGGAATATTTCTATTTACTTGCATTTCCCCAAGTTATCTGTGTATATAGTTATTACAATATCTGTGTATATTGGTCCAACATGATCACTCACAAACATCTCACTAATCCTCACCATGTCATGGAGTGTTCTTACAGGTGACTTTGAAAGCTTAACGACTCTAGTTTCCATATTTGGCGACTCATTTTTGAAATATTTTACAGAGCAACTGTAATTTATTAATTTGCAAGAAGAGTACTCATCAGAGTCGGAGAGCGAGTTCTGACTTTTACTTTGAAATAGTGATGCACGTATGAAATCGTGAAAAATCAGTAAAAACCTCCATTCGTTTTCCTGCCAAGTGTTCAAAAGATAACATCCATTCTGTTTTGGGAGAAAAAAGGTCTAAAAGCGTTTTGACTATAAAGAACAACCAATTCTCCATTTTTGATGCAGCGTGAACTGTGACATACGTCTAAGGTTCACGTCGTATGTCTTATGTGTTTTTTAGAGGTTGAATTGAAATCAAATACTGCCCTTAGTTCAGATATTTGGTTTTAATTTTCTAGCGGTTTTACAGTAAAACATGCTGTAAAATATATATGTTATATAAAATATTAATATTTTAATTTTTATATTTTCATAAACTTCCATAACTTTTTTGTAATAAAAATTCTATAACTTTTTTCACTTCTACAATAATCTGCCAAGTGTCTTCTTTAAAAAGAGACCAACCTTAAAGGGATAGTTCACCCAAAAATGAAAATGTGATGTTTATCTGCTTACCCCCGGGGCATCCAAGATGTAGGTGACTTTGTTTCTTCAGTAGAACACATTTGATGATTTTTAACTTTAACCGTTAGTCACCTACATCTTGGATGCCCTGGGGGTAAGCAGATAAACATCAACTTTTCATTTTTGGGTGAACTATCCCTTTAAGTCTGCTTTTGTTGGAATTTAAGTTGGAAATGTCATTTTCAGGTCTATGCTCAAAAAGTGGAACCGACGGGTTAAGCTTGAGAAACTTTAAATGACTTGTAAACATGTAAAAACCATTTGTAGATGCACCAGTTAGGATAATATATTAAAGGAAGTAGCATACCCGAAGGAATAAAGTCATCATCATCATTGTCACGTTGTACTTTCTCCACAGTGGATTCTTCTCTCGTCTCCTTTATATTCCTGCAGTCCACCAGTTTGACGGAGCACGTCTTCATCGGCGTCTGCTGTTCTCCAGCGTTACAGTCAGACCCCAGAGACTCTGAGGAGGTGACGGACCCATGACTGTCACACACGCTCTCCTGAGCGTCAGTATAACAGAGCAAACTAAGGCTGAGCTCTGAGTCCTGTGTGTCTCTGGATCTCTGATCTCTGACGCTCCAGACTGAATCCTGAGCTTCTGTCCCATCAGTCACACGCACTGAAACCTGCTCCACATCCTGACAAACACATCACAGATAAACACTAATAAAGAACAAGCTTAGGGATGCACCGATTGATAGACCGCAGTTCGGTATCGGTCGGTATTACCTCTGTTTTTTGCCATTTTTCTCTATTAACCGTGAAGCTGTGGCTTTAATTGCTTCAGAAACAATAATGTTACCAACTCCTTGCTCTCTGATCTCTGACGCTCCAGACTGAATCCTGAGAGCGAAGAACACAAGATGCATTAGCTGAACCTGACATTGTGCTCATGAGGTGACTCGGTGAACTTGATTAGAAGATAAAAGCCAATGTTTCACTGGATTGAGCTGAAGGATGAAGAGCTGTTCAAACCTCTCCTCTTTCTCTCAGCTTTGCCTCCAGAGACGCCACCTCTTTCTTCAGCCGACAGATTTCTGAGATGAAATCCTCAATATCCAGCATGGACAGATCAGTTCCTACTGATTTACAGCAGAGCACATCCACCTGCGCTTTCATGATCAACATCTGAACACAAACACAGCAGGATTACTAAAAGACGCATTTATAATGACACTCATTAAAAACCCAAAATGATTGATTATGAGTATGAAAGTGAGCAGAACTGATCTATTAATATGAATTTGATCTCCGAGAACATTCAGAAATGTAAATGTTCAGTTTAAATTTTGACCCAGCGTTCATATATTGTATGATATATAACCTACTTCATTTAACGCATATATATATTATTTTATTGCATTTAATACACTCATTTAGCGTTCGGCACGTAGATACAACGAAAAACAAAACAATAACTAGACAAAATCAATAATCCCATAAAGAGATAAAACAATATAAATCGAACATAAGCGTAAATATAAATCTGGTAAATGGTGTAAAACATACTAAAACCCCGCATCGGTTGAGGGTTCAAACTGTAAGCTCTTGTTTCGGTCGCTCTATGGTTTGTTTACTCACGCTGAAGAGCCTCGAGCGCCTCCGTCTGTGCTGGAGCGGAAGCGCATCGACAGACAGCTGATAAAGAATTAAGACCACACATAATTTAATGTAAATACCTAAATACATATGCTCTTGCTCCTAGTTTGACTAGTGAGAATTCGGAGGAATGAACTCTAACCACCCAGACTTTGGCCGCTTGTTATTTTCTCACTTCTTCGCTCGTGCTGTAGGAGGCGCTGTGACGATCTGTAGTCCACCGGTAAAACCACTGAAGAAGAAGAAGACAGGAGCACAAATTTGCATCGGTAATAGTAACTCCTCCAATAGCACCTTGGTTATTAGAACAACCAGAAGTTGACTTAAACGTACAGAAAGAAATTAAGGGAATGGGGGAGGGGTTTAATTTAAAAGCGTATGTTAAAGAATATATAAAAAGTTTTCTGACTGTAACGCTGGAGAACAGCAGACGCTGCAGACGCCGCTGAAGATGTGCTCCGTCAAACTGCTGGACTGCAGGAACCTGATCGAGAGCCGAGGAGAAGAAACCACAGAGAAAGAAGAACAACAACACAGTGATGAGGAAGAGGAGGATGAGGATGAAGATTTCATTCCTGCAGGTGTGATTCTTCCTTTTATGACCTTTTGTAGTTTTTCATGACGCTTGAATGTCAGCAGAGACTCAGGTTCATATTGTCTCTGATGGTCTGATCAGGTTTGAGAGAAGATTTTTTGAGATATTTGGGAACACAATGGCAAATTATAGTATTGTTTTTTTTCTCTCTCTCTCTCTCTCAGTTGAGATTTTGATCTAGAATGTGTTTTTTAATAGAGTCAGATGTACTCTGCCTGTTTGTAAGGCTGCACGATTTGGCCAAAAATCTAATTTAATTTATTTTTGTCATGATAGAATTATTGTTAAATTATAAAATCATGAAAGAAATGCATTGCGATTGCAATAATACTATTATACTGTAAAATTGCATCATAAATATGATGTAAATAAATAAACATAAATATTTACATAAAAACATGAACAAATATTTACATGAAACAAATATTTCAATCACGTTTGGTCTCGTACTGTATCGCGTACCTTGTCAGTGTCGTGCGCTTTGCTTGGCCATTTGTTGGGATAAACAGGAAAGTGTGTTCAAGCGCCAGCAAAACACAGTGTAAAGAAATACTCTTTGTGAGAAGCAGTCAATTAGCAGAAGCTAAAAGCAGATCGTAAGTGTATTTATTTCTTGTCTCAGTGTTTAGCGCAGTTATCGTTGCTAGATAAATATTTACATAAAAACATGAACAAATATTTACATGAAACATAAATATTTCAATCGCGTTTGGTCTCGTACTGTATCGCGTACCTTGTCAGTGTCGTGCGCTTTGCTTGGCCATTTGTTGGGATAAACAGGAAAGTGTGTTCAAGCGCCAGCAAAACACAGTGTAAAGAAATACTCTTTGTGAGAAGCAGTCAATTAGCAGAAGCTAAAAGCAGATCGTAAGTGTATTTATTTCTTGTCTCAGTGTTTAGCGCAGTTGTCGTTGCTAGGAAACGGATGTTTTGTTTACTGTGTGGAGACGTGCTGAAATAGTGTTTGGTCTCGTACTGCATCGCATACCTTGTCAGTGTCATAAGTATATTCATTACTTCTATTACTGGTCATTCAAGCCTAAACCTCATGGCCCTGACAGAGACGTGGATCAAACCAGAGGACACTGCTACTCCTGCAGCACTCTCCAATAATTTCTCATTTTCCCACACTCCCCGTCTGACTGGAGGAGGTGGAGGTACTGGTCTGCTTATCTCTAATGATTAGAAATGCATTCCTTTACCTTCTCTGGATATTAGCATCGCATTTGAATCACATTCAGTCACTATTACCCACCCTATTAAAATCCATGTTGTAGTTGTTTATCGACCCCCAGGACCACTAGGTGAACTTCTTGAATGAATTAGATGTGCTGCTCTCAACTAGAGGTCTGCATTCCCGCGGCTCCCCCGCGGGAACCGCGGGACCTGACCAGATTTCTTGCGACGTGGGATTAAATTCCCGAATAAAACGCGGTCGCGGTCGGTAACTCTGGTGTAATTTGAACGGGAGCGGGCGGTCTAACAATATCCCGTTCCCGACGTCCTTTCAGAACAACATATCTATCCTTTATTCTTATTGACCTTGAAGGACGTTCAACTCGGTTTTGTTTATATTTTGCTTAGCCTATCATTTTAAATGACAGATGTCGTAGCGTATTTATTTTTTTATTTTTTTCTGCGACACTTTTCCTACTGTGTGTACAGCAAAATGTTAAACTAATTTAGTATTTTGACAAGACAAATAAAAATAGCTAGGCTATTTCTGTACAACCTACATTTTTATTTGTTTTTCTCTGTGACACTTTTCCCTATTGTTGTAAATGTTAAACGAATTGTATCCTGACAAGACGAATAAAAATAAGAAATACAATTTTTGTACAACATTTTTATTTTCTCTG